CCTCATCTCTCTCTCTCCTCTCTCTCTTATCCCATCTCTTGCCCAATTCTCTCTCTCTCTCCTCTTTCTCTCTCTCCCTCTTTACCCATCTCTTCTCTCCTCTCTCCCATCTCTCTCTTCCTCTTCCTCTTTATCTCTCTCTCTCTCTCTCCTCTCTTATCTCTTATCCCATCTCTCTCTCTGCCCATCTCTCTCTCTCTGTCTCCATCTCTCTGCATTCTCCTCTTTACCCATCTCTCTCTCTCTCCTCTTTATCCTCCTCTTTGCCCATCTCTCCCTTGCAACACAGACCTTCTCGATGCAACAGGGGAAAATGTTGACCTTCGCTGCACTGTGTATCAACGTGCGGAACACTTCTTCACGTCGAGGCATGTCAAGATTCACTTCAGCCTGCAAACAGTGTGTGAATTATTATTGTCGTTAGTGTTAGTATTATCTTTATTATTATTGTTATTTTTATTGTTATTATTTTATTGTTGTTATTTTTATTGTTATTTTATGATTGTTATTATTATTATTATTATTATTATTATTATTATTATTATTATTATTATTATTATTATATTATTATTATTATTATTATTATTATTATTTAGTATCATTATTATTATTATGATGATAATATCAGTAGTATTATTGTCATTACTTTATTATTATTATTACTATTATCATTGTTGTTGTTATTATTATCATTATTATTATTATTATCATTATTATTATTATTATTATTATTATTATTATTATTATTATTATTATTATTATTATTATTATTATTATTATTATTATTATTATTATTATTATTATTATTATTTTCATTAGTAGTAGTAGTAGTATCATCTCCATCATTATTATCCTCATCATTATCATTATTAATGTTGTTGTTACTGTTGTTTTTTAATTAGCATCGCTCTTTCAGTTCTTTTTTAGATCAATCATCAATGTTACAGAAATTAATATAGTCGGAATGAATCTTACAAAAAATATCAACAACTTAATATCATATTGTTAGCATCAATCTAATCGTCAGTACTATCACAGTTGATATCATAATTGGAATTAATCAACACTTTTTATCGACGACGTCTATTGAAAAAAAAAACAGAGTTTACCAGAAGAAAAAAAAACAAAAAAAATATGATTTTTTTCTTTTCTTTTTCTTTCTCTTTCTCTCTTTTTTTTTTTTTTTTTTTTTTTTTTTTTTTTGAGGGGAAGAGGGGGGGGGTCATCGTAGCATTTGTAATTAAAAAAGTTTGAGGGGAGGGAAAGTCTGGCCTCTTTGATATCTTACTTAAAAGAGATAGAGAAAAAAAGGAAGGATTTATAGCACTAAAAATACTTTTCTCTTCTCTGTCTTTTGTAATCATCTTTAATATTGTTTTATTGGTACTACTACTTTTGTAGTAGTAGTAGTATTGTAGCTATTATTATGATCATTTTTATCACTATTATTATCACCATTACTATTATCCTCTTCAGCATCTTCATTATTATCATTATTACTACCATTACCATTATCATTATTGTTATCGTTATTATTATTATTATTATTATTATTATTATTATTATTATTATTATTATTATTATTATTATCGTTATTATCAGTGTTATCATTATCATTATAATTATTACTATCATTATCATTAGAAGTAGTAGCAGTATTATTACTATTATCATTATTATTATAACCATTATTATCATTATCATTATTATTATAACCATTATTCATTATCATATTATAACCATTATTATCATTATTATTATTATTATTATTATTATTATTATTATTATTATTATCGTTGTCATTTATCGTTGTCATTACTATTATTATTATCATTATGTGTATTTGCATTTTTTATTATAAATATTTTATAGCATTTGACATAAGTCGATCATCTACATTTGCTATTTGTAGTCTATGGAATAGATTGCTTTCAGAAATTGAAACTTCTCCGACTCCTGATAAGTTTAAAAGGTCAGTTAATGTGGTTTTACTACGTAAAAAGTGAATTTTGACATCTCTTTCTTGGCTGTTTTTTTTCACCCTACACTGGTACCAAAGGCGTCAGTGTAGGTGGTATAATGCTCAAATAGTTCAGTGTGGCTCTTTATATGGCTTACCATAATAATAGTGGTAGTTGTAGAAGTATGAGTAGCATCATCATTATCATTGCTATTATTATGACTGTTACTATATTATCGTTGGTATTGGTGTTCAGCAAACACCAAAATACCACCAGAACACCAGTCCACACCACCAAAATAACCAGCGACTCACCCCGGGGTAATCGGCGAAGGAGCACACCTGGATCATAAGCGTGTGTTTCATGCAGTAGGCCGAAAACACGCTCGAGTTGATGGTGTAGGCCTCTGCCACTGAGGATGGCGGGGGCAGCCGGACGTGGAGCAGCATGTCGATCCAGCTGAGTTGCGAGGACGTCTTGACCACCACCTGGAATGAGGGAGGGAGTGTGAGTGAGAGGGCTGGAAGGGAGGGGTTTGGGGCGGAGTCGTAAGGGGAGGATGGGAGAGGGGGAGTAAGAGGTAGGTAGGGAGGGAGGGGAACGAGAGGGGGGTTGGGAGGGAGGATGGATGAAGGGGTAAGGGGTAATGAGAGGGGTTTTGGGGGAGGAGTTGGAGGGTGTGAGGGAAGAGGGAGAGGGGGAAGTAAGGGAGAGGTAGAGAGGGGAACGAGAGGGGGTTTTGAGGAGGAATTTGAGAGGTTGAGAGGGGAAGTCAGGGGATAGAGGGAAGGGGAACGAGGGAGGGTTTCGAGGAGAGGATGAGTCAGTAGGAGGGGAGTGAAGTGAAGTGAGGTATGAGAGGGAATAGGAAGGGGCTGAGTAAGAAGGAAGTGGAGAGTGGAGTGAGTGGATTTGTGAAGGGAATATGAGAGGACCTCATGAGGAAAAGGGGAGGTGAAAGGGAATGCGAGAGGGGTGAATTAGGGGTGGGATGGGGAGGAGGGTTTACAGGCTGAATGATTCAAGCAAGAGAATGGACAGATTGGGTGGGGAAGGAAATGTGAATTTGTGTGAGAGGAGTGAGATGGATCTATATTCATTTTGAGGTGTAATAGTAATAATGTAAACATCAACTATGATGTCTAATTCCATTCCTTCATAATTATTCTTCAGTAAAAGACCCGTTTCAGAAGCGCCGATATACCCACGCCACCCGCTGCTGATCCACTCTCTCATACGCGTCGATTTTGGCCGTCCATGAGCCAGTGTCTATGAACATGTTATTTTCCCGTCGAGAATACTCATCTGTTCAATAACGCCACTAGTTAACACCTGAAAGAATGAGGCCGTGATGTCTACGGGGATAAATCGAAGCATCTGAAACAGGTCAAAGAGTGCCCTATACTTTTCACGCTGTGGACGGGAAAAGTACACGTCATGTTGAAAAGGACTCAGGGGTGATTACAGCGCCGTGATAATTTTCCACGTATAATACACACGAAAAAAGCTCACTGATACCAAAGGTTGTATCTGAAAGCATGTTGTGGTACCCCCGACAGACGGAAAAATCGATGCACGGGCCACGCTTTATAATATACTTCTTCCTCCTTTACATTATTTTCTTCTGTTGGGCGACAGTTGTTTTACTTCTTGATTTACGGATCCGCCGCTCTTGTTTTTTTTTCCCGATTTTCGAAAATAAAAATAATTGAGAAATCAACTTCTTTTCCTCCGCCGCACCTGATCCGATGCGATTTGATTCCGAAGTTCTTTGATCAGTTCTGTCAAAAATCATTCTGTCTGTGTGTACATGAACAATACCGATTCCAGACGTAATGTAGTGTTGTCATCGGTATTACTTTTTTGTACCGCTTGTCCAAAAGAAAGTCAAAACACCCAATTATTTTCATTTTCATTTTGCGACCGTCTGTCAGAGAATTTCAGAAATAAAATCCGTAAAACAAGGAATTAAATAATTGTGACCTTCTTCCTTCCCCTACCCTTATCTAACTCCTTCACTGACCTATTTTTTCCTCATTCCACTCCTACCTCCTTCCTTCTCGCTTCGTTTCTTCCGCTTCCTTGACTCTCCGTTCTTGCTTTCCCTCTCCCTTCTCTTCCCTGTCCACTCTTTCTACCCTCTCTATCACATAACTTTCGTCGTCATCCTTCTTTTCCTTCATTTTCTCATTCTCCTTGACGTCCTCTGTTCTACTTCCTTCTCTTTCTCTTCATTCTTCTCTTTCTTCTTTTTATTCGTCTTTTTCTTTGCCTTTACTCCACCTCTACTTCCATATCCCACTCCTTCTCATTCTTTTCCCCTCCCCTTCCTATTCTCCTTCCTTATTCCCTTTCACCCATATGAAGCTATTAACTCTCGTATCTACAAATGTACAATCGTCTCACAGCCATTTAAACTTCCGCCCTGGCTGCATTCGGACGCTTATCGGACGCTATAACCAAAGCAGGCTAGAGCCATCTTTTCCACTGGCAATGAAAAGGTAGCGCGAAGTCACCCAGAGGCGAGACACGACGCAAAGCTCCACCCACTCCTGTGACGTAATGGGAATACCTGCGGTTGACGGCTAGATGTTTTACTGTATTGGTAATTTTTTTCGACTGGAACACAGTATGTTAGAATGTAATATCCCATATGTTTATTTAAATTTATGGTGGGTTGTGCTGTGTTATAGATACCCAATATAAGTACGAATGTACGTGAAAATAGCCGAGGTATGGAAAAGGCATCTAGCAGCTAAATAAATGTGTACTCAGTTCCTGTCGCGTAGACTGTAGCCATCAGAAAAGTAGGCTTAGGTCTCCCAACGGCTTAACTGTGTTTAAAGCTATTTACTTTCTGTTTCCCTTTTTGATGTTTGGTCTTCCCTTCCTTCCTCTTCTTTCACATCTTCATCTTCATCCTCATCTCCTTTTTTTCTTTTTCTTTTATCTTCTTCCTCGTCCTCCTCCTCTCTTCTCCCTATCCTCCTACTATCCTCTCCCCTATCCTCCCCCCCTTACCCCTCCTCCTGCAACGACCCTCACCTGGTCCCTCGACGCCACGGAGATGACCCGGAACGACCTGAGCACCGACCAGAAGTTGGTGAGCTCGAGGTACGTCCCCTCCTCCAGTCTGACGGCGCCCTCGGAGATCACCACCGTTAGGATACTGTTGAAGGTGACGTTGCCGCGCCTCAGGAGGATGCTCTGCCGCAGGAGGGACGCCAATCGGATCTTGGAGAAGGTGGATGTGGCGCCCTCGTGGTCGAACTCGATCTGGTGGATCTGCGGAGGAGATAACTTGGAGACTCGCGGGGAGACAGAGGTTGGAGGGAAGTGGGGAAGTGTGGAAGTGGAAGAGTATGTGTAGGGGTGGAGTATGGGTGAGAGCACGTGTGGGGGTAAGGGAAGGGTGAAAATATGGAGGTGTGTGTAAGGGCAGGGGGTAAAAGAGTGTAAAGCTAAGGTCACACTAGTCTTCTCTGTCCTGGGATCCATGGACAGCCTCGTCGAAGTCTGGTCAGCTGACCAATCAAAAGCTGTAGCTGGACAGACTGCAAGTAAGTGGAAGCGTATGTGTAGGGGTGGAGGTGCATGGGTGGGAGCACGTGTGCGGGGATAAGAGAAGGGTGAAATTGTGTAGGTGTGTGGAAGGGGAGGGGGAGAAAGAGTGTAAGGCTAAGGACACGCTAGTCTTCTCTGTCCTGGGATCCCAAGACCCTCGTCGAAGTCTGGTCAGCTGACCAATCAAAAGCTGTAGCTGGACAGACTTCGGCGAGACTGTCTTGCGATCCTAGGCCAAAGGAGACTAGTGTGACTTTAGCTTCAGTGGGAGTATGTGTGAGGTAATGGGGTGGAAGCGTTTGTTGAGATGTCGATACACCTATATATCCACTTAAATGTACAAGTATATACTAATAACCGTAGAACGATTATTGAAGCAACAGTGAAAATATAAAGTTATGAGGTCCAAGCAGTTCGAATAAAATACATGGGAAGAGAGGGAAAGAATGTGAGAGACAGAAGCACCGAGAGACAAGAGTCGAGAAGAAAGATTAGACAAAGCCCATAAAAGTGGAGAGCAGAGGCAATTAGACTGATAACGAAGGCGAGGAGGAAAAAACGAGAGAGCTTAAAGAGATAAGCCCGCACATAAAAAAAATTCCCATAAGGCAGGCAACCGTCCTACCCTGACTCCCACGTGGATGTCGTTGACTTCGACGGGGGACATGAAAGTCACGTTGACCATCGTGTGGAAGTCCACCACCTGCCACTGGCTGCCTTCGTCCGTGATGTTCAGGTTGTCCAGCTGGTTGACGGCCACGTTGCGCAGGTTGAGCGTCTTGAGCGTGCCGCCGTGGAGCCTCTTGACCGTCGAGTTGGTGAGCTCGACGGCGGTGACGAAGGCGCAGTCGATCTTGTCCAGCTCCGAGTTGCGCAACACGAGCGTCACGTCGCACGCCTGGCGCCCGCCCGCGTCGCCCTCGGCGGCCTCGACGCTCTGCAGGGGGGCCACGGACCCGCCCTGGATGTAGTCCAGGTCGAGCGTCTGGTCGCACGGCGCCGAGAACACCTGCAGGCTCCTCGCGTTCCGGACCTTGACTTCGCTGAAGCCACGGATGTTCTCGGCGAACACCTCGACGGGCTGAGAGATGGACGTTGTTAATAGATAACAGACAGATAATTGAGAGTTGTTAATAGATAACAGACAGAGAGAGTTGTTAATAGATAACAGACAGATAATTGAGAGTTGTTAATAGATAACAGACAGATAATTGAGAGTTGTTAATAGATACAGACAGATAATTGAGAGTTGTTAATAGATAACAGACAGATAATTGAGAGTTGTTAATAGATAACAGACAGATAATTGAGAGTTGTTAATAGATAACAGACAGATAATTGAGAGTTGTTATAGATAACAGACAGATAATTGAGAGTTTTAATAGATAACAGACAGATAATTGAGAGTTGTTAATAGATAACAGACAGATAATTGAGAGTTGTTAATAGATAACAGACAGATAATTGAGAGTTGTTAATAGATAACAGACAGATAATTGAGAGTTGTTAATAGATAACAGACAGATAATTGAGAGTTGTTAATAGATAACAGACAGATAATTGAGAGTTGTTAATAGATAACAGATAATTGAGAGTTGTTAATAGATAACAGACAGATAATTGAGAGTTGTTAATAGATAACAGACAGATAATTGAGAGTTGTTAATAGATAACAGACAGATAATTGAGAGTTGTTAATAGATAACAGACAGATAATAGTTGTTAATAGATAACAGACAGATAATGAGAGTTGTTAATAGATAACAGACAGATAATTGAGAGTTGTTAATAGATAACAGACAGATAATTGAGAGTTGTTAATAGATAACAGACAGATAATTGAGAGTTGTTAATAGATACAGACAGACAGAGAATAGATAACAGACAGATAATTGAAGTTGTTAATAGATAACAGACAGATTGAGAGTTGTTAATAGATAACAGACAGATAATTGAGAGTTAATAGATAACAGATTGAGAGTTGTTAATAGATAACAGACAGATAATTGAGAGTTGTTAATAGATATAACAGACAGATTGAGAGTTGTTAATAGATAACAGACAGATAATTGACAGATAATTGTTAATAGATAACAGACAGAGAGAGTTGTTAATAGATAACAGACAGAGAGTTGTTATAGATAACAGACAGATAATTGAGAGTTGTTAATAGATAACAGACAGATAATTGAGAGTTGTTAATAGATAACAGACAGACAATTAAGAGAATAGATAACAGATTGAGAGTTGTTAATAGATAACAGAGAGAGTTGTTAATAGATAACAGACAGACAATTGAGAGTTGTTAATAGATAACAGACAGATAATTGAGAGTTGTTAATAGATAACAGACAGACAATTAAGAGTTGTTAATAGATAACAGACAGATTGAGAGTTGTTAATAGATAACAGACAGACAATTGAGAGTTGTTAATAGATAACAGACAGATTGAGAGTTGTTAATAGATAACAGACAGATAATTGAGTTGTTAATAGATAACAGACAGATAATTGAGAGTTGTTAATAGATAACAGACAGATAATTGAGAGTTGTTAATAGATAACAGACAGATAATTGAGTTGTTAATAATAACAGACAGATAATTGAGAGTTGTTAATAGATAACAGACAGACAATTAAGAGTTGTTAATAGATAACAGACAGACAATTGAGAGTTGTTAATAGATAACAGAGAGAGTTGTTAATAGATAACAGACAGACAATTGAGAGTTGTAATAGATAACAGACAGATAATTGAGAGTTGTTAATAGATAACAGACAGACAATTAAGAGAATAGATAACAGACAGACAATTGAGAGTTGTTAATAGATAACAGACAGATAATTGAGAGTTGTTATAGATAACAGACAGATAATTGAGAGTTGTTTAGATAACAGACAGATAATTGATTGTTAACAGACAGACAATTAAGAGTTGTTAATAGATAACAGACAGATAATTGAGAGTTGTTAATAGATAACAGACAGATAATTGAGAGTTGTTAATAGATAACAGACAGATAATTGAGAGTTGTTAATAGATAACAGACAGATAATGAGAGTTGTTAATAGATAACACAGATAATTGAGAGTTGTTAATAGATAACAGACAGATAATTGAGAGTTGTTAATAGATAACAGACAGATAATTGAGAGTTGTTAATAGATAACAGACAGACAATTAAGAGTTGTTAATAGATAACAGACAGAGAGTTTTAATAGATAACAGACAGATAATTGAGAGTTGTTAATAGACAGACAGATAATTGAGAGTTGTTAATAGATAACAGACAGATAATTGAGAGTTGTTAATAGATAATTGTTGTTAATAGATAACAGACAGATAAGAGTTGTTAATAGATAACAGACAGATAATTGAGAGTTGTTAATAGATAACAGACAATTGAGTTGTTAATAGATAACAGACAGATAATTGAGAGTTGTTAATAGATAACAGACAGACAGATTGTTAATAGATAACAGACAGATAATTGAGAGTTGTTAATAGATAACAGACAGATAAGAGTTGTTAATAGATAACAGACAGATTGAGAGTTGTTAATAGATAACAGACAATTTTGTTAATAGATAACAGACAGATAATTGAGAGTTGTTAATAGATAACAGACAGACAATTGAGAGTTGTTAATAGATAACAGATAATTAAGAGTTGTTAATAGATAACAGACAGATAATTGAGTTGTTAATAGATAACAGATATTGAGAGTTGTTAATAGATAACCAGATAATTGACAGACAGATAATTGAGAGTTGTTATAGATAACAGACAGATAATTGAGAGTTGTTAATAGATAACAGACAGATAATTGAGAGTTGTTAATAGATAACAGATAATTGAGTTGTTAATAGATAAGACAGATAATTGAGAGTTGTTAATAGATAAGACAGATAATGAGAGTTGTTAATAGATAACAGACAGATAATTGAGAGTTGTTAATAGATAACAGACAGATAATTGAGAGTTGTTAATAGATAACAGACAGATAATGAGAGTTGTTAATAGATAACAGACAGATAATTGAGAGTTGTTAATAGATAACAGACAGATAATTGAGAGTTGTTAATAGATAACAGACAGATAATTGAGAGTTTTTAATAGATAACAGACAGATAATTGAGAGTTGTTAATAGATAACAGACAGATAATTGAGAGTTGTTAATAAGATAACAGTAATTGAGAGTTGTTAATAGATAACAGACAGATAATTGAGAGTTGTTACAGGACAGACACAGACAGATAATTGAGAGTTGTTAATAGATAACAGACAGATAATTGAGAGTTGTTAATAGATAACAGACAGACAATTAAGAGTTGTTAATAGATAACAGACAGATAATTGAGAGTTGTTAATAGATAACAGACAGACAATTGAGTTGTTAATAGATAACAGACAGACAATTGAGAGTTGTTAATAGATAACAGACAGACAATTAAGAGTTGTTAATAGATAACAGACAGATAATTGAGAGTTGTTAATAGATAACAGACAGACAATTAAGAGTTGTTAATAGATAACAGACAGACAATTGAGAGTTGTTAATAGATAACAGACAGATAATTGAGAGTTGTTAATAGATAACAGACAGATAATTGAGAGTTGTTTTAATAGATAACAGATAATTGAGAGTTGTTAATAGATAACAGACAGATAATAGATAACAGACAGATAATTGAGAGTTGTTAATAGATAACAGACAGAATTGAGAGTTGTTAATAGATAACAGACAGATAATTGAGAGTTGTTAATAGATAACAGACAGACAATTGAGAGTTGTTAATAGATAACAGACAGATAATTGAGAGTTGTTTAATAGATAACAGACAGATAATTGAGAGTTGTTAATAGATAACAGACAATTGAGAGTTGTTAATAGATAACAGACAGATAATTGAGAGTTGTTAATAGATAACAGATAATTGAGAGTTGTTAATAGATAACAGACAGATAATTGAGAGTTGTTAATAGATAACAGACAGATAATTGAGAGTTGTTAATAGATAACAGACAGATAATTGAGAGTTGTTAATAGATAACAGACAGATAATTAGAGTGATAACAGACAGATAATTGAGAGTTGTTAATAGATAACAGACAGACAATTGAGAGTTGTTAATAGATAACAGACAGATAATGAGAGTTGTTAATAGATAACAGACATAATTGAGAGTTGTTAATAGATAACAGACAGATTAAGAGTTGTTAATAGATAACAGACAGATAATTGAGAGTTAATAGATTAATTGAGAGTTGTTAATAGATAACAGACAGATTGAGAGTTGTTAATAGATAACAGACAGATAATTGAGAGTTGTTAATAGATAACAGACAGACAATTAAGAGTTGTTAATAGATAACAGACAGATAATTGAGAGTTGTTAATAGATAACAGACAGATAATTGAGAGTTTGTTAATAGATAAAGACAGACAATTAAGAGTTGTTAATAGATAACAGACAGATAATTGAGAGTTGTTAATAGATAACAGACAGAGAGTTGTTAATAGATAACAGACAGATAATTGAGAGTTGTTTAATAGATAACAGACAGACAGAGTTGTTAATAGATAGACAATAGTTGTTAATAGATAACAGATAGAGAGTAAATAGATAACAGACAGATGAGAGTTGTTAGTAGATAACAAATAGACAGTTGTTTGTTAATAGTAGACAATTGAAGAGGATAGAGTATATCAGCGAATAGTTGACTTGGAGCAGAATGATAAATAAGAATAACAAAAATGAACGATAAATAATGAAAAAAATGAGGGCCATGAAGCGATTAGATTCACGATTAGATAATGACGCAGTGAGATAAGGAATAAATAAATGAAATGGAGGAAAAAACGAGTCAGAAAGATAGAGAAATGAAAGGCATGTGAATAAATGATAACATGTGAAATTACACAATTTACAGGTTAGATTTTTCGTTATTGACCTTAAATCTTATCTTGAATATATTAGTCATTTTTATCTTGTTATCATAATCCTTGAATTATTTCCTAATCTTTGATAAATGTTTCTATGTATGTGTGTGTATGCATGTATGTATGTATCTATCTATCTATATATATATATATATATATATATATATATATATATATATATATATATATATATATATATATATATCTATATCTATTATGTCTCTCTCTCTCTCTCTCTTTATATATATATTATTATATATATATATATATATATATATATATATATATATATATATATATATAATATATATATATATATATATATTTATATATATATATATATATATATATATATATATATATACATATATATATATATATATATATATATATATATATATAATGTATATACATATATACGATATACGTATATATATATATATATAATATATATATATATATATATATATATATATATATATATATATATATAAATTACGATGTGCGTGTACATATGTCAGTAGAGTTTGCATGTATGTATTTCTATATGCAGTCATGTATGTTATGTTATGTGTGTAAGTATATGTGTAATTGAGCGATTAAGTTTATGTACATTGTGTTTGCATGTGTTCGAGTATGCATGTCTGTAGTACGTTTGTTGTTTGTATAAAAGTGTGTGTATGTAATTTTACTGCATGTACTTATGTATTAATCATATTATGTAGGTGTTTAATTAGGTATTTGTGCATGTAAGTGTATATCATCACAAATTCAGAGTAGGCCATGTGCTCTGCTTCAAGTATTCTTGTCATATACTTTGTGTATATTTAATATGGTTTTATGCTGATGTTTTTATTTATTGATTTGTCAATTTAGTTTTTTTTTCACTTTTAATCCAGGAGATTACAGCCATTTAGTTCCCGTTATTTCGTTCAGGTAATTTTCCCGACGCCAAAGTCTGTCCTGCTATTTACACAAGAGAATGCTCTTTGAACCCGCTTTGATACTGTCTAAAGTTTGAATCTGATTTCAATCCTATTCGGTCTCATTAGTTGTATTTTTTATGTTCCTTATTCTTCTATTAAGGCTATTAATATTCATTGTCGAACTCTTTTGTTTTTTGTAGAGTTCGAAGACCTTGTAATTTCGTTTGTTTTTTGTGTTTCTTTTTGAATGAGATGAATTTCTTTTATATCTTAAATATTTCTAAGTGTATAAACTATATAGTACACGCGCTATACAGTTCATTCTTTTGTAAGAGAAAGAAATTACCCTGGGATTACTCATCTTGAAAAAAATAGCTATAGTTACCCCTTACATGAATAAAGAAAAATGAGGATCATTTTCTTTGATGTGTACTCTGCGGAAATAGCAGTGACTATTATATTTCTCTGAAGTTTCAAAAACAGAAAGATGACAGAAAGAGACAGAGTGAAAAAAAAGAAGCAGAGACGAAAAAATATATATATAGTCAGAAATAGAAAGATATAGACAAACACAGATACTGAGATAGAGACAGATTCGAGACAAAGAGAGAGAGGAGAGGGGGGGAGAGGGTGGTGGATAGGGACAGCGAGAGGGAGGGGGGGGGGGAGAGGAAAGGAAAATAGTGAGGAGGGGTAGAGGGAGAAGAATAGGGAAAGAGACGGAAGGAGGGACGGAGGGATAGGGAGAAAGGGAGAGAATGAGGGAAAGGGAGATAGGGAGGGAGGGGAGGGAGGGAGAGAGAGAGAGAGAGAGAGAGAGAGAGAGAGAGAGAGAGAGAGAGAGAGAGAGAGAGAGAGAGAGAGAGAGAGAGAGAGAGAGAGAGAGAGGAGAATGAGAAAGGGAAGGAGAGACAAAATGGGAGGAAGAGAAAGAGAGACAAAACGAGAGAAAGAGAAAGCGACAGAATGAGAGAAAGAGAACGAGAGACAGAATTAAAGAATGAGAGAGAGAAAGAGGGACAGAATAAGAAGAGGAGAAAGGGAAAGAGAGAGAGAAAGGAGAGAGAAGGGATGGAGAGAGACAGATAGACAGAAAGAGAGAGAAACAGAGACCGAGAGAGAGCCAGACGCGACGCCCCAACGTGAACCAGTCAGCAAACGGCAAAGTCGCCCGCCCTACCTTGTCCAAGTCCGTGAAGTTGCAGAAGAGCGTGTTGTCCTCCACCTCGCAGCCCTCGACGTCCTCGCCCAGCTGCACGGAGACATTCTTCCCGGGCGTGTAATCGTCTTCGAGGAACTGCAGGTAGCTGGACGACATGTTGAGCAGGACGCCGTCGACCGTCACGTTCTTGAGGGAGATCCGCTCTCGATCCGCGAGAACGATGGCCGAGGCGACGGCGTAGGTGATGGTGATGTTGTTGAGCGACAGGAAGCCTTCCGAGGACGTCACGTTGATGGCGCTCTCGTCCAGGTAGTCGATGGTGACGTTGCTGATGGTGACGGCCCCGCGCTTGATCTTGAGGCCCTGGCTGGACACGCGGCCGATGGTGGTGTTGGTGATGATGAGCTCGGCCGCGTTGAACACGATCCCGTCGTAGGAGATGTGGCCGATGTGGCTGCCGATGATCCACAGGTTGTCGTTGGCCTCGACGTTGCTCACGAACTCCAGCTGGGAGTTCTGGATGGTCCCCCTGTAGCCGATCCAGTCCAGGGCGCCGATGGCTTTGATGGTCGAGTTGACGGCCATGAAGTCTCGCTGGTTCTGCAGCATGATGAGGTTCGCGTGGCTGTTTATGAGGGTCAGGTCCTTCACCCCGTGAGAGACCGTCTCCACCTGCGAGTCGTAGATGCGCAGCCACGTCCGGCAGCCTTCTTCCGAGTCGCCGAGCTGGAACGAAACGCCCCGAGGTTAGCGAGACGCGCTCACAGGCTCACCGAATCTAGAGGCTACCGAAGGAAAGGCACTGGAGTTTTCTGAAGAGTTAGGCATTAATTCTCCCAGATTGCAAAAATAGATTATATTTACTTTCAAATGATACCAATATGAGCTTTCTAGCTATTTCTAACGTTGATGGCTAATTAAGACAGAAAGACCAGGCAAGGACTACCATCGTCAGTGAAAAGAAAGGAAGGTTAATTGGCCAAATGCAGGAAAATGGGAACAAACTGAAGTAAAAACAAAGACTAAAAGACTACAAACTTTAAAATAAAATTCAAAAGAACACAAACGAAAGTTAGAAACTCAACAAAAAAGAAAGGAAATGGACTGCCCGCATTTAGAGCAAAGGAAACCAAACCACCACAAACAAACGAAGGGAATTGAAGCTCCGAAATCCATTCGCGGCAACTCAACATCAACTTTACGGGAAAGGCTAGATCAGTAGCAACTCGAGGAGGTGTCATGGCGTCTGTTTTGATGATTGTTCAATGAAAATTTAACCGTTAAAATCGTTATTTTCCATCCTTTTTGAAAATTGAAGAGACCAAAAAGCATCCGTAACTTTTGTGACGTCATCAAAGTCAACCCCAAAGCATCCGTAACATTTATGACGTCATCAAATAAACCCCAAAGCACCCGTAACATTTGTGACGTCATCAAATTA